CCAGCTCCTTGCCAGTCTGGCTCCCCATGTTGCCAAGTCCATTAAAAACTTTCTCCACTTCTCTTCCAGCTTGAGTGATTCCATTATTGAGGCCTTCCAGGGCTTTGCCCACTTCTCTCTCTGCACTGCTTAGCCCTCGGTTGATCCCTTCAATGACCTTCTCCAGGGGGTCATCTTTGGCCGCCCATCCAGGCAGGGCGACCAGGAGCAATAGGAGGGAGCAAGAGCTGACCCAACTGTTGAGATGCATGTCGTTGGGAAGGTAGGAAAGCTGCAGAGAGCAGCCGGGGAGGCCAGGCTGCTATTTATCCCCTACCTGCTCCCCTCTCTCCACCCCGCATGACTCAATTACCCCTGTGAGGCACTGACTGGGTCTCCAGTCAGGGAGGCGTTTCCCAGGGAGATTTGGGGTTGAGCAACGGAGAGGAGGAGGAAGAGCGGGTGAGTCATAGCCGGAGAAGGCTCACATGGCATCGGGCTCCATCTCAGCTCCGGACCTCCACCCCAGGACCCAGATTCTGCCCTGCCAACCACCTCCTCACTCATTCCTCACTCACTCCCCCACCGTGCTCATGCCTCTCTCCCAGCCCAACTCCAATCACCAATCCCTGGGCCCCTGCCTCTGCAGCGCTTCCCTCTCAGGAGCTCTAAGGAGCCAGCTTCCACAGCAAAGAGAGTCTAGAAAGATGGAAGGCGCCCCCAGTAGGGACTGAGGACGGCGTCTGACCAGCTTCTTACGGGTCTTGGCCCTATTCACACTTGAACATAGTCACATGCAGCCATAAACCTTCCAGTATCACACAAGGCCCAGCCACCTGGACCTTCTTCCGAGGCCTTCATCCCATTCACTCTTTCCTTGCTGGTTCCTCTGCAAGGGACCATGTCCTCGCCATGGTAGCTCATTCTGTTCTTGGTTCAATGTTACTCTCTCAAAACACTCAAAACTTGGGATCCGAGAGATAATACGACAGGTAGGATGAGCGTCTTGCCTGTCTCCAACCCAGGTTCAATCCCTGGCACTCCATAAATGAGTTTGAGCCCATCAAGGACTGTGATCCCTGAGCACAGTGCTAGGAGTAAATCCTGCACTACCGGGTGCGGCCAATAAATAAATAAATAAATAAGCTCCCTCCCCACACACACATACACACACAAAGAAAAAACTCAAAATTTGGGGGCAGAGAGATAGTACAGTGGGTAGGACGCTTGCCTTGCATGCAGCTGATGTGGGTTCAGTTCCCAGCATCCCATATGGTTTCCTGAGTCGAGCCCGCCCCCCCCACCCCCAAAAAGTGATCCCTAAGCTCAGAGACAGGAGCAAGCCCTGAGCACTGCTGGGTGTGACAGAAAAAATAAAATAAAAAAATAATCAAACCTCAAAACCTGCCCTGGCCGCCCCCGGTTATACTCTGTAGCATCATCATCCTTTTGTTTTTCTAACTCTTCCCATGACCCCAAACAACGATCCCAAATTTTGTTGTTGCTGCTGTTTTCTCATCTATCCAATCTCCCAGATTGAAGCTTTCAGAGAACAGGGCCTTGAGCAGTGCTGGCCCCTGCCAGGGCCCCCAGCTCCTTGAACTTTAGGTGAGGGAGGACAGTAAACCCTGAGAGGTTGCTCAGATGAATGAGAAGAAATCCAGGGCATAGAGTCCGGGCCTTGAGCCGTCGAGGGTGAGGAAGTAGGGCCTGTCCCATCTCCAGAGCAGCCTGGGCCCCTCGGGGAGGATCGCAGAATGAACCCTGGCCTCCTGCCTCCCAGCCCTTGGGCGAGGGCAGGGGTCTGATTGCCATGAGCTGGGACAGGACGCAGTGTCTCCTGAAAAGCCGGTTGAGGCAGCCATGGGGAGGGGCGGAAGACCCGGGGCAGCGGGAGACTGTCAGCCAGACCTGGGATAGGGGCCAGGAGCTCATCCTGCCCGCCCTCCTCCCCCTGGGCCTCCTACATCCCACCCTAAGGGGGCAAGTGGGAGCCCAGTGACCTGGGTGGGAGGGGGTGATGGCTGAGAGAGGGGCTGGGCATGAGGAAGGGATTCAGGAGGGCAGAGGGCAAGAAGTCTCTCTCGGGAGCGAATTCAGAAGGAGGCCGAGGCCGAGGCCAGAAGAACGAGAGAGAGGCAGTGGGTGGACACGGCTGGGTGCTGGGGGGAGGGAGCCCATGGAGAGGGGCGAAGATATTTGGGTTTTGGTGCCAAGGGGAGAGAGGGGGTGGAGGTGGGATTGCTGGTGGGAAGGCCAGGCAGAAAGGAATGCACAGGGTGTGAGCGAGTGGGGGTGGCAGAGGTATGTGTGTGGGTGCCAGGTGTGGTGAGAATCCGCACGTGTTTCCAGCTTTTGCTCAAACAAGGCCCACTCCCCTCGGAGGACCCAGAGCTCCACCCCAGTGCCGGACACTTTGGCTCCTCCTGGCCCAGAGCTGCTGCTGCCTTGTCGAGACTGTGCTGGTGGGGGTGACTCACAGTGCCAGGGCTCTAAGCTTTAGCTCACTGACTGGTCCCAGTTTCACACTCCAGGAACGCAGCCAAATCTCTGGGCAACTTCAGGTGTGGTGATTCTTGCCCGTGTCCAGCGCCTAAATGAGGGTGTTTCCCAGGCGCTGGGATTGCTGGGTGGGGAGGAGGAGTGGTGCGCAGCTTCAGTGGCGAGTTTCTCCTTTAGCAATGGACTCGGGCCTCCCTCTTGCCCCATCCCACCATTCCTTCTTCTTGCTGCTCCATTCCCATCTGAATTTGATCTGGAACTCTCCATGCTTAGCTCCATGCACAAGGGAGGCCTGGAATTGTCCCTTGCCATCCTCTGCAAGTCTAGGAGATGTCAATAGCCCAACCACCCCACCGCTCCCCCAAAGCACCCCCAGGCAAGGAGGAGGCGATCTCTAGAGTTGTGGGTGTTGCTCAGTGCCCAAGTACCTACCATGTATGTGTGATGCCTGGGGTTCCAATACTGGCATCAGGGGAAAAGTTTGAAAGACAGAGGTAATGCTCACCCTCCTCCAGCTCGCCAGCTCCAGGCCTCAAAGCTCAGGCCCCTATCCAGTCAGGGACTATCCCTGAGACTCAATGATCAGTTCCCAAAGCTTTGGCCCGTCCCAAAATCCACCTGGTTCTGAATCTGCCTCCAAGAGAGGAGAGTTCACGCTTTAGTTGACTCTAATTCTTTCCTCGTTTCTGCCCTATTCACATTTGCTGTTTCCTTTTTTCCTTCCAGTTTTAATCCTTTACCTCTATTTTGAAAAACAGCTGATTTCACCTAACTTTCATTTCTTCCTTCCTTCCTTCCTTTCTTTCTTTTTTTAGTTTTGCGGCTACACCTGGGGTAGTATATTCAGGGGTTACTCCTGACTGTACTGAGGAATCACTTCTGACCATATGGAATGCTAGGGATGGAATCTGGATTGGCCGTGTACAAGGCAAACACCTTGCCTGCTGAACTATCACTCCAGCCCTCACCTAGTTTTTTATATCTACCATTGCAAAGCTGTACAAAAGCTGGGACCTTTTTCATCCTGGTTTCATCGACACGGTCTCCCCTCATTAACACTATAGTGCCCCTTCATGCAACTAGTTGGTCTTAATTCACCAAGAGCGTCATATGCTTCAACCTACCTCTCCAGAGCAACACAAGCTGGGCACTCACCCCCACCAAATCCTATCCCCCAATACCCGCCACCCAGCACAGGTATTGACAAACTGAGTTTCCATGGAGGTTCTGGGAAGGAAGAGGTTATGCCATCCTCTCTCCTTCTTACTTCCACACCTCTCTCTAGGATGACTCCTTCTTGGATCAAATCGCCACCCCTTCAAACTTGGTCATAGTCATGTGTCACCTGCCCCTGCAGGGAAAGGTGCCTGTGAGTCAAGATGGCAAGACAGCCCCCACCCCCATCCCTGTGCTGTAGGGATGTGTCCATTTGTCCTTCCGGGTCTCTGCTCTGTACTAGGCTGAGTTCTAGGGGCTGGAGGCTGCTGTGAATAAAATTGACCAGAATGCTAGGTGGGGGTGGTGTATGGGAGTGGGGGTGTTTTATAGTTTCAGAAGTGGGCAGTGAACAAATAACTAGATGAAGACCGGCAACAACAGAAGGCCAGGGGGAGAAGGGAGGGTAGTGAGAGGCTGGGACTTGGCAGCTGCTTGGATGTTGGGAATCAGAAGAAACCCTTTATGAATTAATAAAGATGACCTTTATTAGTGCAAACCAACGTTATTTATGGAGGGGACGCCTCTGTGTCAAACATTCCTCTGGTCAGTGGAAGGCAAAGTGATAAAGCAGGCAAAGCCTCAGCCTTCCCAGGGGTTAGACAAAGGCCTTGGACTTCCCGGGGCCTTAGTCTAGTGGGCAAACCATCAGCAATAAATAAATAAGTAAATAAATAAGAAAACATTTCAGTAGAAGTGGGGCGGGTGAGGGGAGGGGGCTATGGGAAAAATGAAAATAGAATTTAACCCGGGTTTTTTTTTTTGCACACAAAACATCTAAGGCAGAATACAAAAGCAGACAAGTCTTCTGAAGGATGGGCGGGAGGACAAGGTGACCCAGCAACTAGAGAACCTAGATGCCAGTCAGAAAAGCCTCTCCTGCAAGGTGGCATTTCAGAAAGACAGGGCAAGGCATTCTGGGCAAAAGAGAAGAGTTAGGGTAACTGTCCAGAGGGAGGTCAAGGACCAGCCCCGAGCCCCCTGTGCCAAGGGAGACAGAAGCAAGGACAAGTCAAAGGAAACCCGTGGATTCCACACTAAATGCCAGTATGTGCCCTTGGGAGTAGGGCACAAGGAGGCATCATGTAACAATTTCCACCACCCCCAGGTGGGAGAACTAACATTGTGACATCACTTTAGACACTGACGCACTGTGACATCCCAGGGGTCAATGACATCACAGCAAGGCGCTCTCTCTTTCTCTCTCCTTCCCTCTCTCTCACTCTCTCTCCCTCTCTCTCTCACCCCAGCAGTTAGCTCTGCACCTCAGTTAACATCACAGGACGATGAAGACTTAGGAGACCATGCCGAAACGGGACGTCGTACTCACCAATGTCACTGTTGTCCAGCTATTCCGCCAGCCTTGCCGGGGTGAGGCAGGAGATGGGGGAGAAAGGGCGGGCTGGGAGGACCCTTCCTTCGGAAGCCCGAGCACATGTGCACCTTCTCGGGCGCGGGGGAGGGCTCCCCTCTCGCCCTTCCTCCAACCCCACTGTCTGGATTCTAGAGTTGGAGGCAGGGAGAGCGGGTAGGAAAGCCCCCAGCTTGGGACTGGACTGAGAGCACGGTGAAAGGGTGGCGCCAGGGGCTCCCGGGCTGGAGTCTCGAGGAGAGCATGGTACGAAGGGGCCTGTCTGGGTAGACCTGGTAGTTGTTAATGCACCTCCACAAACTTAGTTTCACGTCAAATTGACCCTCGCTGGTCCCGCACCGCACTGTACTGCAGTACTGCACACAACGAGGGCACTTGCCACCTACCAATCACCTCCCGAGTGTACACTCATGGCTACGGTATGTTTATTCTTCCCCCTTTAAGCAAACCATTTCCCTAGGTCTCCCAATGCCAAACAGTCCAGGGTCCCCAACGCTGCGGGGAGGGCGGGGCCGTGGGCGGGGCCATGGTTGGTGATGGGCGGGGAAGTTGGGCGTGGTTTGGTCCGTGGGCGGGGAGTTGGGCGTGGGTTGTGGGCGGGGTCGGGAGGTGGGTATGGCCTTGGGCGTGTTATGGTCTGTGGGCGGGGCCGGGAGGTGGGCAGAGCCAAGGCGGCCTCCCAGGAAGCGGAGGGCGGAGCGAGATGGTCAGCCTGCAGACTGGGGCTCCTGGCGCTGAAACTCGAACCCGTTGCCTGAGGTCATCCTCTGCTGACCTGAAGTCTGAGTTGCCCCTCACAGGATTTACAGAACCTGCCCCTGGGGATGCCATGAGCTGGTGCACGTGAAGCACTCAACAGGCCCCGAGTCCTTGGTGGCACTCAGGAAATGGGAGTGGCACTGTAATTGGGAGAGAGGGCACTCATGCCCTTGTTTCACCTCCCAGCTGCTCTTGCTTCATCACGAGTTCCTTCCCGACAAAACTTTATTCCAGCACTCAGACCCCATTCCCACACACAATTTGTTTTGAAAGGTGGTCCTAACCTAGCTCAGATCTCCCCTTCCAACCCAGACAGACAGATCTCCCCCTTTAGTAATAACAGAAAGAACCCCCCCAGGAACAAGAACCACCCTGTTAAGGTTCTATTGATAACCACAGGGTGACTGCCACTCATAAATGCTAACACCTTTCCAAGCATCTGCGGTTGCCGACAATATCCACTGCCCCCTTCAGGACACATGTCCTGTGGCAGCCAAGAATGGCTGGGGAGATGGACCCACTGGCCACTTGCTCTTGGTAACAGAAATAAAATTAGAGTTTAACACGGTTTTCTTGCACACGAAATATCTAAGTCAGGATGCAAAGGCAAGCTAGGCGTACGAAGGATGGGTGAGGGAAGGTAAGTGACCCGGCAGGTAGAGTCTACGAGGTGTCAGTAGCCTGATCATCCCAGCTCCGCCAAAGCTCCCTAGCCCCTCTCCCCTTGGCATCAAAACCCAAGTTAATTTAGCTCTTCAACACCTAGTGCCAGTGATTTTGGCACCAAAAGCAGCTCCCACGTCTTTCTGCCTCTCTCCTACGCCTGTCTCTCCCATCTCTCTCCACTGTCACACTCTTAGAATTCAGCCAGCTTTTCCCTCATTCGATCCACTTCTGGTGAGCCTGTATTTCCGTCTCACCTGAGTCCTTCAGTCACTCAGATTTGATACCTGAAAAGAGACCAGAGAATTTCATCAACTTAGCCGGGACCACACAGCTAGCAGGTGGCCAAATCAGGGCTGACATCCAGACCTGAACTCCAACGCGAAGCCCCCTGACTACTGTTTCCACTGTATTTCCCCTCCTCTCTCCCTGTCCTCATGTCATTCAGGCTGAAGTACACTGCCAGTGGGATGTTGGAGAGGTAGAACCTCGGGCTTGGGGTAGCACGGGAATAGACCCCTGGGTTTCCAATCCTCAGCACCCCAAAATAACCAGAGTTGCTTTTGTTGGAGCAGCAGAGTCTGCTGAGAGTTTCCTGCTTGTGATCCACCTCTGCTTCCTAAACTACTTGGCAGATAAGACTCATCTGCAGAGCTGTTCAAAACAAGATCCCTGGGCCTCCGTTCAGACCTCTGGAGCCAGATCTACGGGGAAGAGTCTCCCGCCAGGGATTCTGATCAGAACAGTTTGGGGACCACTGAGCTAGATTGATTACCAGACATCTTTGGGAAATAGTCTTTGAAATATGAACATGGGTGGACTATTTTTCTTTCTACCTTGATGAACGCTACCTAGGCATTACTCATTTGATTCTCACAGCTGAGAGCAGCAGTGCCACCTCTACCATCAGGAGGAGGGGGGAGAGGGTGCCCTCCACCAAGCACTGTAGCAATGTAGCACTGTCCTCCTGTTGTTCACCGGTTTGCTTGAGTGGGCACCAGTAATATCTCCATTGTGAGACTTCTTGTTACTGTTTTTGTTTTTGATATATCGAGTACTCCACGGGGAGCTTGCCAGGCTCTGCCATGAGGGCAGGATACTCTTGGTAGCTTGCTGGGCTCTCCGAGAGGGACGGAGGAATCGAACCCAGGTCGGCCACATGCAAGGCAAATGCCCTACCCGCTGTGCTATCACCCCACCAAGCAATTACTAAAAATGCAAACCCACTGCCATAGGCTCTTGGGGATGGGGTGCTGGTACTGAACTTAAAGCAGAGGTTCCCAGGATCTCCTAATTGGAATCCCTTGGAGAGTGCCTCCAATTCCTCGTGTCTGTCAAATACTCCTAATAACCTGATAGAAGGTCAGGCCTCAACCCTGACAATGACATCATACTAATCCTCAAGGGCAGGACTCGGGCTGCCAGGGTGTTAAATTCTGTTCGGGTGATTACAAGGTGCTGCTGATTGGAAGCAGGTGGTCTTCAGCCTTTGCACAGCCAAGGAGGGGCACTGCTGGAGCGCAGGTCTGTGGAAGGGCAGTAGTAACCAATGTGGTAGACCCTTATATGCCTGTGAACTGATCCCTGGACATGCAGGTGGAGATGCTGGCTGGAGGCAGGGCCCACACCCTGCTTATTCTGCAAACCCGGAGCTCAAGGTGGTTGGCCACTAGCAGCCCTTGCAGGTTCAAGGGTTCAGTCTCAAGGATGGTACAGTTCTTTACCTCCCATTATTCCCCTTCCCCACAGTAACCAGATCACCACCCCTGCCCCGACCGCCCCCTCCGGAGCCCAAGATCGAGTCTCCACCTTCCCCGGAGTCAGAGCCGGAACCCTTCAAAGAGGATGAGTCGCCACCTCCTCCTCCTCCTCCACCACCACCACCGCCGCCCCCACCACCACCTCCCCCTCCTCCACCACCTCCTTCCAAGAAACTCACTGTCGGCATCAATGGGTGAGTGGACCGTTGTCTTAGGATATTCCAGGTGAGGCAGGGGGTGGGGTGGGAAGTGAGGGGGTCTGCTGTCAGAGAGCTGCTAGTCTGGAAGGGAAGATAAACCAAGGAACAATGTGGGACTTGGGGAGAGTGGTAAGACTGTAGAGGACCATGTTAGCCAGGGAAGTTGTGGAGGCTTCTGGGAAGGGAAGTCCTGAGTAGCTACTACAACACTGCACGGGAGGGGGCCGTTGAGTATTCTGAGGACAGGCAGGTGGTCACCCAGTCTGGAGTGGAGCCAGTTGGAAGGAGACGGAAGCTTTGGAGCCTGTTAGGTCATGGAAAGGGGCTTGGATTAGCTTTTCCTGATGAACAGAGATGGTCGAGGTCAGAGGACATCCTCTGACCTGTGTTCTTGAAGGTTCCTCCAGTTCTTTTATTTTATGATTTTTATACATTTTATTTTCATAAAGTAGTTTACATTAGTTCATTACAGATAATATTCAAACACCTACCCAACCAGCAAGCATCTTCCCACCACAATAAGAAGGAAGTGTGTGAAGGTTGTTGTATTTCATTCTGGAGCCATTTAAGCCCGTATATACAAGAATACAAGCAAGTATGTTAAAACCAAACACACGTGTGCTAATTTATGTACATCAGTGGGCTAGAATATAAGAGGTCACACAGCCATGAATGTGGCTGCGCGCTCCAGGAAATACTGCGTCACTTTCTTCTGGGAGCTGCATTTTACAGTCTCTGGATCTTGGCCATTGATGAGATTACATGGCACGCTCAGGGGGGCGGGGGGAAGGGCAGTTTGTGGGTGTGACTGCCAAGCTACTGGAAAACTGGGGACCTGGGTGGAGGAGGCCCAATCCTGATCCAAGCAGTCCTGGGTTCCTCTGTCAGTTCCTTTATGGGTGAGGCTCGTCCGAGTGTGTTGAGAGTGGCTCTGAGCATGGCTGTGGCTGGGTTCTGGAGGTTTTTGGCTGCTGGGGTTCTTCTTGGGGCAGGGAGGGAAAATCAACCTGCCCCCCTCCGAGGTGCCCCCGTGAAGACAACCTGGTGCAGGGTCGGGAGATTCTGCCAAGGTCCCTCCAGTTCTAATGGTGAGGCTCGGGGCTGGGCAGCTGGGCTGGGAAGCAGAAGCCGCTGTGGGTGGCAGCAGGTAGTGGCCTTGCCTTCTCCCCCTCGAGTGATCTCCCCATGGCTCCCCCTCTTCTCTCCTGTCCCATCCTTTGCCCACGGCCGGGAGGACTGTGAAAACAAACCTCATGGTCCCTTGTCCCCACACAGATTTGGACGCATCGGCCGCCTGGTCCTGCGTGCTTGCATAGAGAAGGGCGTGAAGGTGGTGGCCGTGAATGACCCCTTCATTGACCCTGAATACATGGTAAGTGGCAGAGAAGGGGCAGGATCTGCCGGGACCAGAGAGGAGTTCAGGGGAGCTCTAGGAAAGGGTCCCATCAGGGATGGGGGGAGCCTTCACCAAGCTGGGGATTGTGCACGGAGTGCTTGTTGCCCCATACCTGGCCCCCAGAAGGCCCAGAAGCCCCTGTGTCTCTCAGGTGTACATGTTCAAGTACGACTCCACCCACCGCCGGTACCAGGGGAATGTGCAGTACAAGAACGGGTATCTGATGGTGGATGACATGGAGATCAGCGTCTTCCAGAGGTAAGGGCAGCTGGATGTGCCGGGGAGATGTGGAGCACAGGGTCCTGGCTGATCATCTGGGGTTCATCAGTCCCAGGTAGGGTTCACTGCTCTGGAGGGGGTCTCTGAGGATGGGGAAGCATGCATGTGGAAGGATGGCCCCTTGCACTCATACTGGCACGCCTTCTCACAGGCCGGACACTCAACACATCTAAACCCCAGCTCAATTCCCCTCCCACCCCTAAACCACCTCATCTCCTTTCCCAAGAAATAGCTTTGCCATCAAAACAGCAACAGACACTAGATTCCAGGCCAGCAGCCCCTTAAAAACATCAAGTGGATTTGGTTGTTCCCCTTCCTCAGTCTCCTGATGGCTTCCACCTGATGTCCACCCCCTCAGCATTCTGCACACACACACACACACACACACACACACACACACACACACCATGCACCTTGGCCTTGCTAGTTGTTGGGCCACACAAGGCAGCTGAGCTTGGGGTCCTGAGTCAGCTCTGCTTACATGGGACCATGAAAACATCTAACCAAGAGCCGCACTCTTGCACTTGAACAAGTTCAGAATCTTGAAATCAAGCAGTAGCACCAGCTGTTTAACATACTCCATATTCACTTCGCCATATTTTTTTGATGAGGGAAAATATGTTTATTCATGGGCTAGTATCCTGTGTAATGGCAAACTCAAGACCCAAACAACCATCTTGTCTGCACAGCTATAAGAAGTTGTATAGGAAAAGAGAACAGGAAATAACTTTGAGGAGCGGATTGCCTGAGGCATATTTTCAACATAAGAGCAAATAATGATTTATTATTCAGGTTTTATCTTTCGAGAAAACAGTGACATTCTTCACATTTTTCAAATTATTTTTATTGAATGACTGTGAGATAGATCCTTACAAAGCTGTTCATGATTAGGTTTCAGTCATTCAGTGTTCCAACCCATCCCTCCACCAGTGTACATTTCTCACCACCAGTGTCCCCAGTTTCCCTCCCATCACCCCCATTCCACATCCCCCAGCCTACCTCTATGGCAGGCACTTTTCTTCTCTCTGTCTCTGTCTGTCTCCCTGTCTCTCTCTCCTTTTATCTTCCCATATTCTTACTCCCCACCCACCCAAAGTCACAAATGTATAAACAGAAATAGCAGTGAAGATATTTACAAGGAACACAAGGAACACTTTGCCCACTGCCAACCACCGAGCACCTACCCCTACTTTCATTAGCTGGCTGGCCTCCTGCAGCCCCAGACAAGACCTGGGGCCTTCCACACTCCTCACAGCTGCTCCCTGACCTCCCAGGCCCTGTGTGTGATGGGACAGGGAGTGGCAGGTGGGGACTGGGGACAGTGATCACGGGAGACGCTGTTTTTGAACCGTGTTTGGATCCCCGTGTCCCTTCCTGCCTCAGCTTTGGGCACACTTGTTCCTAATCCAGGACATTCTCCTCCCCACTTCCCTGCCCCCATATGTGTTACTTCCCACCAGGCACTGCCTTGTCTGGTGCCTGCAGCACGTCCTCCTCCTACCTGTCCTTCTTGTGACAGTGTACAAGTACCGTGTTGGTGCAGGCAACAGTCTACGTGTGCATGTATGTGGCGCGGCTATACTTGGCTGCTTCACCCACTCCAGTTGGGTGATCTTGGACACAGAACTGACCTTCTCCAGCCTCCAATTCCGTGAGGGTCCATTATGGGGATGATGACCACGTATGACACAGTGGTGGGGGGAGCATGGCAGGAGTTAAGAGGTGTTGAGGGCACTCTGAGGACTCTCAGCCTCTCTGCAGGAAGGGCCCTGGCAGCTAGCATTGCCTTCACTGCTGTGGTACCCGCAGATGCAGGCCCTGGCGCCTAGAGGCCTGCTCAGATGGCACCCAGATGCAGTCCCTGGCCCTTGGTGGAATCATATGTCCTTAAAGAATGAATGAATGAATGAACAAATGAATGGATGCTCAAAAGAGTCCTCTGAGCAGTAGGGCAGGACCCATGGCAGCTCAGGGGAAGGGACCTTGGTCTCCAGCTCTATGCCAAGTCAACTAAAGAAATTGTTGAAGTACCCCAGTCTGGGGAAGCACCGGAGGAAGGCTTATTGGACCTGATGATGAGAAGTAAGATGCGGCAAGCAGATGCCCAGGGTCAGGGAAGCCCCAGCAAGTGCTCGCTGTTCCCCAGCACATTTATTCATTCAGGCAGGCAGTGAGGCTCAGATCCTGCAGGAATCCCCACTGCTCTGTCCCCTATTGCCTTCACTTCCGCCCTGACTGGCTCCTCTGAAAAAGGGCAGTAATGATGGAGGCAGAGAACTTAGAGCCTGGACCAGGGTCTGTGTTCACTAAATGTGGGGCAGGAAGAATAGCCCACACACATGGGCTGAGCCCCTCTGGGGAACAGCAGATCAGTGGCAAAGGAAGCAGGGCCAGCCCTTTTGCCATGGGACATTCTAGAATAGCGCCCCTTAACCCTTTTTTTCACTTTGGGATACCTTTCCTCCTGAGGATTCCAGAAACACCTCGGCTTCAGGATGTGGTTTACTTTGTATTAATTTTTGATCACTTCACATTCAGAAACTTTTTAGTATTGCCAGATTTTTCTCTCCCATCTGGCTTTTTGACTCCGAGTTTAAGAAGTTAACTTCAGGCAAGAGAGATAGGAAGGTGTTTGCCTTGCACACAGAGAACCTGGGTTCGGTCCCCAGTACCCCATATGGTTCCCCCTGCCAGGTGCGGCCCAAAAATAAACAAGAAAATCAGGCTCTAACAATAGAATTTCTCAACCAAGGACAGCAGGGCCCCTCTGAACCCACAGGATATTCCAAGGGCCTGATGATGAAAAGTTTTTAAAAATGGGTTAAAAATGTATAAATAGGGTGGGGGGATTACAGAAAGAAGCAAGGATGAAAGGGGTCCCAAGGTCAGAATATCGCTGAGAAACACTCCTCTATAAGACACAGCAGATATGAATCACAGAAACACATACTACACCTGTGTTCGACCTCTGAGAGAAAAGACTAGAACACAGCCCAGCCATTTATCAGTGCTTGTTTGAAATCCCAGCAGAAAACAGCAGTACTTGATGTTTGAGGGGTATTTTTGTTTGGGGTTTTTTGTTTGATTTGGTTTGGGGGGGCACACCTGGCAGTCTCAGGGCATTCTTCTGGCTCTGCACTCAGGGATCATCCCTGCAGGCTTGGTGGAGCATAAGGGATGCCAGGGATTGAACCCAGATTGGCCACATACAAGATCAGTGGCTTACCCATTGTACTCTCCAGCCCCATTACTTGGTATTTAATATGTTATTTGTTGTTGTTGTTTTTGGTTGGGGGAGGCACACCTGGTCATGCTCAGGACTTACTCCTGGCTCTGCACTCAGGGATCACTCCTGACAAGCTCAGGGGATCATATGAGAATAGAACCTGGGTTGGCCACGTGCAAGGCAAGCACCTACCCTCAGTGCTCTCACTCTGACCCCTGATGGTTTTCTAATACATGCATTTGCTAAAAGTGCCGAGTGAAATGAAATCTCGATCAAATGGGAAATAACCTCTCTTCTCTTCCAAATACAACCAACAGCCACTGGTGCCACACTGGCCTCAGACCAGCCCTCCAAGGACCCCTTGGGGACTTTTCTGGCCCCAACCACTGGGTGGGAGAGAGACAAGAGGAGCAGAAGGGCTATGCCAGGGTGACAGGGTTCGGGGCCAGAAACCTTGGGCAGGCCTCACCCTCCTTGGACTGCCTCCATTCAAGGCAGCTGCTATAGAAAAGCTCCCCCTGGCTTTACATCCAGGGATGGTCCCAAAGGACCGAGGCCCCAGTCATGAAAACTGAGGCGTATGTCAAGGCATCTTAAGGCCAAGGTGTTTGAGAGAGTCAGCCTGTGGGCAGGTTCCTGAAATGAGGCAGGAAGAGGAGGGCCGAGCCCATCTGGGCAATGTTAGGGATTCAGAGAAGATGGACAGGGTGAAGGCCACATACTATGAAGACGGGACTCTGAAGGCAAGGCCGACAGTGAAACAGACCTGCAATCCCACCCACAGCATGAAGCCCATCGACATCCCCTGGAAATCGGTGGGAAGCCCCTATGTGGTGGAGTCCACAGGCGTGTACCTGAGCTTAAAAGACGCTTCCGTGAGTGTGTGTGTGTTGGCGGCGGGCGGGAGTGCCGTAACTAGTGGGGGTGGGTCCAGGGTCACTGGAAGCACTCTCTGATATCTGTGCCGTCTCCCTAGGAACACCTCAACGGAGGTGCCCAGAGGGTGGTCATCAGCGCTCCCTCCCCAGATGCACCCACATTTGTCATGGGGGTGAATGAAGAGGAATATGACCCAGAATCCATGAGAATTGTCAGGTAAGGGGCAGTGGAGAAGGGGGTGGTGCCCAGAGAACTCACAGCCTGTCTGTGGGGGGTCAGCTTCAGGAATCCCTCCACAACCCACCCTGGGCTTTACCCCCATGGAGCATGTGTCCCCCAAAACTAGCCTTTAGAAATACTTGACTTCTAGAGCCCCCACTGGGAGGACTTCACCCAGAAACATCTCTGGCACCTCTTTGACTTAGAAGGTATCCCCCCAGAACCCCTTGAACTTGACTTTCTACCAAATCAAGCCTGGTTGCATACCCCAAGAGAGAAGGGTGGCAGGGCCCCGGGTGACTCACCTCAGCTACCCTTGCATTCCTGGGCTGTTTCAGCAATGCCTCCTGTACCACCAACTGCCTGGCTCCCCTCAGCAAGGTCATCCATGACAGATTTGGGATCGTGGAAGGCCTGATGGTAAGTTGCCGGGAGGCTGATGGTGAACTGGGGCAAAAGTGGGATGACCAGAACCCCACTTTCTCCCCGGAACTTGTGAAGTGTGTGGCATTACCAGAGATGGTTTTCAGGGGGTGGAGGGAGGCCTGCTTTTTTAAGACACTGTTTGACACAGCCAAGGCTGGCCCCTAGCCAGTACCTTCTGGTTGGGTGGCCCATGATGGCTGCCCTATAAGCTTCCATACCTGGGTCACCTCCCCCACCCCCCGGACTTAAAAATGAAGCACAGGAAAGCCTCACTCAGACCTCTTCTTCCCAAGACCACAATTCATTCCTACACGGCTACACAGAAGACTGTGGATGGGCCATCGAAAAAGGCCTGGCGAGATGGCCGGGGTGCCCACCAGAACATCATACCTGCCTCCACAGGGGCTGCCAAAGCTGTGGGCAAAGTCATCCCTGACCTCAAAGGGTATGAGCGCAGAAGCTGCAAGATGGGCATGCCACAGGAGGGCCAGACTGGCCCCCTGTCCTTTTCAGGGTGTCTACTGAGGGGAACGCAGAGGGAGGGTCAAGTGGACCAAGTTCCTGGTTCTGACACTCAGCCTCATGTACGGTCCTCTAGTAAGCTGACGGGAATGGCATTCCGGGTGCCAACTCCAGATGTGTCAGTTGTGGACCTGACCTGCCGCCTGGCCCAGCCTGCCTCGTTGTCCACCATCAAGGACACCATACGCGCAGCAGCCAACGGGTCCTTGAATGGCATCCTTGACTATACAGAGGATGAGGTAGGCACTGAGGAGTGAGTGCCAGGGAAGGAGCAAGACTTCTGTTAACCAAGGCATGGCAGGCAATAGCCCAAATGGGAGTGTAGAGTTTCTGTCCTGTCCTGCCATCAGGAAGCTGTTCACTAGATGGGAGGGCTGTTCCTCCCCAAGTTCTCTACAGATCCACCTCCTCAGCAAGATGGGGATGGGAGGGGGGGTGTTTTTTGTTTTTGGGGCCCCTTTCCTCACTCACACCCTTACTTCAAAGCTACCTATGACCCTGCCAGTCGCTGTACTCCAGGATAGTTAGACTTGGAAGCTCTTCTCACTTCTAGAGCACCAGCTGCCTTCCAGGTCTGGCACACAGCCTCTGTGCAGTCGTGCTTAGTAGTCAAAGGCTGGTGGCTGCTCTGTAACACTCAGGGCAAAGCATGAGAGATGGGTGTCATCCTTCTCTTGCCCCCTAAATACCCTTATGGCTGGCCCTCACACAGCTACCAGGCTCTCTGCCTCAGTGAAATCGCCTCCACTTCTGAAAACCCTCCCATGGCCTTCATTCCCACACCCTAGGGGCCTCCGTCTGCCGTCCCTTGGACCTTAGACTCTGTGTGAGGGCCTGACTTGACCAGATCCTCCTAGACTTCCATCCCGAGATTTAGCTCATCCCCCTCCCAGCGGCCCTCTATGGCAACCCACTCCCAGGGCCCACAATAGTCCCAGGGCTATCTGTGCACCTTTAGGAGGGTGTATGTGATCTGTGTCCTTGGAACCCAGCTGCCATCGGCTTTTCCAAATCTTGACCCCTAAGCATGGGCAAAGAAGGGCTCTACTCTATATCATGGACAAACGAACAGTCAACTGTTTCTAAAAATTAGAGCCCAAGGGGCTGGGGTGATAGCACAGCGGGTAGGGCATTTGCCTTGCATGCAGTCGACCCGAGTTCAATTCCCAGCATCCCATATGGTCCCCTGAGCACCACCAGGGATAATTCCTGAGTGCAGACCCAAGAGTAACCCCTGTGCATCGCCGGGTGTGACCCAAAAAGCCAATAAATAAATAAATAAATAATAAAATGAAAATCATATTTTAAAAAAATTAGAGCCCAAGCTCCCAGGGTCCTCCTAGCTCTGACCCTACACTGAGCTCTGCCATTCTGATGCCCAGGTAGTGTCCACGGACTTCCTCGGCGATACCCACTCTTCCATCTTCGATGCTAAGGCTAGCATGGCCCTCAACGACAATTTCGTAAAGCTCATTTCCTGGTAAAGGGGAAAGGGGAGCGAGAGGGAGGAAGAATTGCAGAGACACTGAGGGTGGTGGCAGGGGAATTTCTAATCGTTCCCTCTCCTACACTCCCCTAGGTACGATAACGAATATGGTTACAGTCACCGGGTGGTGGACCTCATCAAGTACATGTTCAGAAAAGACAAGTGACACCCGACCGTCTTTCGCTTCCCCATGTCCTCAGGCGGTATGTCCCGTAGTTTCTCAGACAGCCCGCCTGGGTTAGGATAAGGTCCCCACTGTGAGGGGTCTGCGCCGCTAGCCAACGGTGAAATAAAAACCCAGAGTACCACTCCTGCGCCCCCATCTCTCTGCGCCGGCCACAACTGGGTCCGATCCAGGCTCACGGGCCACTTGACCTAAATCCATAGCCGGCACCTGCAAGCACCTGCGCCGAGACTCGAAGCCGCGCCCCTCTGTGGCACCTAGGGACCCACGTGGTCCTGGGGGCGGGGCCTCGAGCGGCCGGCGAGCCCCGCCCCGGTCCAAGACGTCATCTCTCGGCGCCGGGACTCCGGCTCCCAGAAGGCCGCGCGCGTCGCGGCGGAGGCAGGTGGGCTCCAGGCCCGGGCTGGGGCGCCGAAGCCCGGCGGACGCAGAGACCCGAGCTCCGAGACGCCGCCGCGCCGGTGGCCCGGGAGGCCGGCGCCATGACGCTGTTCCACTTCGGGAATTGCTTCGCCCTGGCCTACTTCCCCTACTTCATCACCTACAAGTGCAGCGGCCTGTGAGTGCGGGGCGGCCGCGGGGCGGGGGAGGGGGGCCCGGGCCGTCGCCTCACCGCCCCGCTCCTGCAGGTCCGAGTACAACGCCTTCTGGAAATGCGTCCAGGCCGGGGTCACCTACCTCTTCGTGCAGCTGTGCAAGGTGAGGGCCGCCCGGACGCCATGCGACCGGCCCCCGCGCTCGCCAGACCCAGGGCTCCGGCCCCGCCCGGATCCCCCCTGGGCCGCCCTGCCCTCGGGACTCGGCGTAGGGACGCTCCCGAAGGCCCAGAGAAGACGGCTTTGGAAGGAGTGCCACCTCCGGAGGAGAGGTCTTGAAGCCACTTTTGCATAGCTCTTTTAGTGAAATTCAGGAAACGTAACACTGTTAAGAGGGGTTTGGGTGTGGTTCAGGAGTTCCCGAGAGCCAGCACGGGAGCTGCGGCCACAGCCTAGACCTGATTGATCCCCGACCCCAACCCCCCCACCCCTGCGATCGCCACAGCCCACGCCCCCACGGGTACCAGGCTCCTACCCTCTTATCTCCCCCAAGTCATTGGGACCCAGGGTCCTACCCTCTCTAACTCCCCAAGCCCCTGTCTGGTGCTCCCCACCCCCAAGGGGCCCAGGAACGCCAAGATCTTTTCCTTAAGTAGGTGCTTACTCCCACAAAACCCACGTGGTTGATCCCCTGACCTTGAGCTGACCTCTGTGCTGTCTGTCTTACAGATGCTGTTCCTGGCCACTTTCTTTCCCACCTGGGAAGGCGGCATTTATGACTTTATTGGGGTGAGTGTGTCAGGCAGGGAAAGTGAATGAATGGAGCGGGGCTCCCAGCACCGGGCTGACTCAGGTTTCAATCTGACCCACAGGAGTTTATGAAGGCCAGTGTGGATGTGGCAGACCTGATAGGCCTCAACCTTGTCATGTCCCGGAATGCCGGCAAAGGAGAGTACAAGATCATGGTTGCTGCCCTGGGCTGGGCCACTGCTGAGCTCATTATGTCCCGGTGTGTGCAGCAACCTGGAGCCCAGATTCCTGAGCCAGGACTCCAGGATTCCAGAGGGGTGCTGGAGGGCAGGGGCGCAATATCAGGGATCTGGGGCAGGGGGTTGGGTGGGAGGGAGGCTCAAAGTTCCTCCCTTTGTCTTCCTCAGCTGCATCCCCCTGTGGGTTGGCGCCCGGGGCATTGAGTTTGACTGGAAGTATATCCAAATGAGCATTGACTCCAACATCAGTCTGGTACGTGCTCCCAGCATGCCTTATTCCCCTGTCTGGGCTCCTCCCAGGGCTTGGCCCTGACGGCTTGCTTCCCTCCAGGTTCATTACATTGTGGCATCAGCCCAGGTCTGGATGATCACCCGCTATGACCTGTACCACACTTTCCGGCCGGCAGTCGTCGTCCTTATGTTCCTCAGTGTCTACAAAGCCTTTGTCATGGAGTAAGCTGGGTGGGGTTTGAGGCTGGAAGGGTGTGAGTGGGAGCCGCTTAACTGTTCGCCTCCCTCACTGTGGTATTCCCGCCCCCGCAGGACTTTTGTCCACATCTTTTCCCTGGGCAGCTGGACGGCTCTTCTCGCCCGCGCAGTGGTGACAGGGCTGCTGGCCCTTAGCACTCTGGCCCTGTATGTTGCCGTCGTCAATGTGCACTCCTAGACGTGATCTCCCAGGTAGTCACGTTTGCAGGTTTCTGTGAAGTAAACAGTATTTGGAAAGTTGTTTCTGCCTCCCTTTCTCTGTCGGCTCTTGTTCAGACTTTGGAGCCTGGTAGACATACGGGCCAGTTAGCCAGTACCCATCTGTCCTTCATTCTAGAAGCCGTGCCTGTTTCTTGTTTCTCCCCTGGCGCCTACCAAGAACTTGTGTTGCCTTTGTAGTGGTGACTCCGGGAATGGAGAACTGAGATCCAGCAGAGGGTTCTTGGGGCTCTGCTCAGAGGCTCAAGCTCACCCTCATCCTTATAAACCCTTCCTGACTGGTCACCTCCAGCTTCCTCACCTCAGCCTTACCCTCCAGTTTTCCCTTCGTGTGGCAGCCAAAGGGACTGATCTAGAATCTCGGCAACCCAGCAGTGGCTGAAGTCACTACTGGCATTGGGGCTCTGACTTGTGCGACTCTGAGCTCCTTGGTGCCCTGACTCAGTCTGTGACCCTCGGATCAGTCAAAGCAGCAGAGCACACAGTCACCTGCACCAAATGCAGAGAAATTGTGTCCAGCAGTGTGGATGTGTGTCAGAAGCAGGGCCCTGAAGGCACAGCCTGGCTCCCCAGGAGGGTGCACCCCAGCTTTGGCATTCACAGGGGAAGCCCCAGAGGGTAGGACATTAGCCCACTCCCCTTCGTGCTATCAAGGTCTTGCCACAGGATTGCCTGTGCTCTAGGAAGGCACCAAGCACAGCCCTGCTGTACAAGAAACCTGTCCTGGGTGGTGCCATCCAGCCCTGCCTGCTGCCCTTACAGGGTTGTTGCAGAAGTGGAGTGGGTAAGCGAGTGGCTGACTAGTCACCCTGACTTGGATGTGAGAAAGGAGGACATGGGGCACCCTTGAGTGGCCTTGGCTCTCCTGCACCCCGAGGGTCCTCAGTGCTTACCACTCAGGACCAGTGAGGTCTGCGCTCGTGACTTAAGCAGTTTGCCGATTCCAGCTCCCTGCTGCCAGGCAGCTGTCTGGGAAATAACCTTGGCTTTCCTGAGCTTCAGAAATACCAGTGGTGGGTTGGAGTTGAACTGGCAGAGCAACTACCCTCGGGATAGTGGGGTTGGGGGGTCTGATGGGAAACGGGGGTGGGGGTATGGGGGAACTGAACAGTGTAAGAGCTGATACCTGGAGGGCGTGTCATGGGGACAAGATCGGCGAGGTGGGGTGCCATGGAGGGCTGGGGTGGGAGAGAATAGTCTCAGACTGGGCTTTAGGAAGATCTTGGCAACTGGGTGTGGAAACAGGGACAGCAGGGCCATGGGATGGCAGAGACTGTTTTACCAGTAGGGGGTGACAGGGAAGGAAACCAGGCCTGGGGGACAGGTTTGTGACTTGTGTCTAGAGGGCTTGCCCATCTCCTCGGGAGAAGGAACCACACTGATGAACTGCTCCTGGATGGGAGCAGGTTTTGGGAAGCATGCTATGAGACCCAAGACAGGTATGAATCTCAGAAAGTATGGGCCGAGGAGCTGGGACCCCAGGAAAAGCCTGGGGCCTGAGAGGCCACTGGTGGAGGACCAAGGCTGGAGAGTTGAGTAACCAGTTGAAGGGAAGAAGAACCTGTGAGCAGCCTCTAGGTTGGCTAGGAACTAAGTAGTGAACTGGGATGGTGGGTGCCCTGAGAGCTGCCATGCGGTACCTGGGGGCTAGGGGGATGCCCTGTGAATTGTCATGAGGTACCTGAGGGCTTGGTGGGGACACCCTAAGAGCTTCTGTGAGGTACCTGGGAGCTAGGGGGACGCCCTGTGAGGATTGTCGTGAGGTACTGAGGGCTTGGGGACACCCTGAGAGTTGCCATGAAGTACCTGGGGGCTCAGGGAGACACCCTGTGAGCTGTCATGAGGTAACTGGGGGTTCAGGGAAACGCTGAGAACTGTCATGAGGTTCCAGGGGCCCAGGAAGGGGAATCCATGAGCAAGCTGCCATAAGGTACCTGGGGGCTCAGTGCAAAAGGGGTTCTGGTACCCTGTGTCTCAGCCTCTTAAGAAGAAAACAGGTGATTCTGGCTAAAGGCACCCCCTGCCTTTAAATGCTGCAGCCCTGGGAAAAACATTCACTGTCCATCCCCCCCAACATCTACAGAGACCCCATTATGCACCAGACAGTGTTCTACAATCTGGGGCTACATCCCTGAAAGAAACTGTAGCTTGTGGCATTAAAGCGACTAGGAAAGAGCTGAAGACCGTGCCTTGAGCTGCTTTATTGCTATCATCAGGACACAGTTGGCTTTAAAGGCACCCAAAGGAAAGACCCGCATCAGCAGCCCCACCCCCACCCCCACCACTTGCTCCCCTAAGGCCAGCTCAGAGGAGGGTCTAGGAACTGATCCTCAGGGTCTGGGCCCTGTGCATGTGGGAGGGGAGCGGGTGGGGACCCTGGAAGCTGATGTGCGTGGGCTGCAGGGGCAGACGGGTGCAAACAGGCCTCTTGATTCAGATGTTTCAGAGATTGTCCAGAGGGGCCCAGGTGTCCGGCCCGGCCGCGGTCCTTCTAGTAGTAGAGTTCCTGGTCCCACCAGCCTAGGGAAGAGAGGCAGCTCAGTGCTAGGGAGGTGCAGTCAGGGTAGGGGCCAGGCCCTCAGAGGTTAGTGGTGGTTTGTTAAGGAGGGTCAAATTTTGAAGGTGGGGACAGTCACCCTGAGAACATCTCAGCGCGCCCGCGCCCCCCACCCCACCCCAGGATCCACACTCACTCCCTGGGCAGCAGCGAACTCCAAGTTTCCGGATTTCATCATAGACGAAGATGAGGAGACCGAAGGGCATGGGGACTAGCCACCACTGGTACCTGAGGGCAGAGGTGGCAAGATGAAGACCATCCTCAAAGGCTGTGCCCCTCGAGCCCAGCCCCCAGCTCACACCCTTTGTCTCTCACCGGATGGGCATGAAGTTGAAGATGTTGGGCATTCCGGGGCAGTAGCAGAGGAAGCAGCCGATGCAGACCTGGAACACGATGGCGATCACCAGGATCTTGTTCCTGCAGGTGGGACAGGATGGACAGGCTGGCACTCGAGCCAAGAGAGGCCACTGAGTTGGAGACCAGATGGAAATCGGGGTACTGGGGCAGAGGAGGTTAGGAGTGAGCAGCATGAAGAGGTTCTAAAGTCTACGCCCTCTCCCACAGAAATGGGGAGTTTTCTGCCCTTAGCAGATGACTCTGGAGGCCCCAGCTGAGGTGCCTGCTGAGAGCTACTGTAGGCACCAAGAGGAGAGTTAGCACCTGCTCCCGCACATCCCGGTTAGCTGTCAGGATCTGATGGGATATGGGAGCAAGGCCCAGTGGGTGGCGGCCCTGGATACCTGAAGAAGCCTTGCTGGAAGGCCGAGAGGCGGCGGGTCTTGCGGATGAGGACATCAGCTATCTGGCACATCTCGATGCTGATGAAGAACACGGTGTAGCAGGTGTACTGCTGGTACAGGCGCTGCCCGAACGTCTGAGGGCCAGGAGGGAACAGAAGCAGCCTCAGCCAGCACAGCCAGCGCGGACTGGGCCCATGAGCCCCGCAGTGCTTTCCCTTGCATTGGTCTGGGGGGCTGCAGACCCTGGGGTTCAGAGGTGTCAGTGGCTGAGCAATCCAGGCAGGCCTGTTAATTCCACAGTGAAAGGAGGAGGAGGGTGTCTGGGCAAAGGAACGAAGCCCGAGTCTAGCAACTCCGAGATGGGGGCAGACGGTCAACACAGTGAAGGACACCAGGCAGTCCTCGTGTACGACCCCATTCAGCCCATGTCTTCAACCACAGCCAGGAATGGGGGGCAGCGGGGAGATAACCATCCAGGTGCCCTGTGCTCCCATCTCATCTCATAAACCCTCCCCATAATCCCACAAGATCCGCTAATTCCCAGCTTGGGTGGGCATCAGAATCCCCAGAGGACTGATTATTAGAAGGGTCGGGGCCTCAGGTTCCCAGGTGTTGCTGCTACTATTCTGGGGCCACTGAAAACCACTGAAGCTGACATTAATTCAGAGCACTTTAGGTGGGGAGGCAGAGAAGCCAAGCAACATGCCCAGGTTCACTCAGTGATGAGCACTGGCCAGGCAAGAACGCAGACCATGAGACCAGGCAGTCTGGCTTTAAGATCAACTTGCTTAACCTCACAGTCCATGCTTAAGGGGACAGGGTGTGGGGGAATCCTGATCTGTAGGGAACAAATGAAACACTCCAGTGGGCCAATCAGCCTCTCTGTGCTCCAAGCATTCAAAGTGCCCACAAAGGCCTCTACTCTGTGATGGGTGCTGCAGGGCAGATAACAGGTGCGAGCCTGGTCCCTGTGAACGGGCTGTCACCGCCCAAAGACTGGGAGGCGCCTTCTCTAGTTGGAACCGTGTACAGGAGTTTGGTGGGAAAGGCTGCAGGCTCCAGGACTCCAGGCCTGGAAGACCCTGACTGAGAGCTGAGTCACCCATGGGGGAGAATGTGGGGACCACGTGCTAGGAAGGTGGCCCTGGAACTGAGTGAGTGATGGGGACCCGTCAGGTCAGACTCACCCACTCCTGGCCATAGCTGTCCTGCAGATCTTGTAGGTGATGATCCTCCCACTGTGGCCGCAGCCCCACACACAGCAACGGGAACCAGCCCTCCTGGGCCATGGCCGTGAAGTAGTCGGTGAAGCCAGCAAAGGACTGGATGGCGCCTGGGGGTACAGGCAAGGAGACACCAAGATAGATGATTGATAGACAGACAACGGAATAGATAAAGGCACAATGCTGCAGGAAAGCCAGGGCCCTGGGGAAGAGACTAGGGCACAGAGACAGATACCAAGACAAGAATCTAAAAGATAGACAGGGACAGAAGAGGCACAGAGAGAGAGAGAGAGAGAGAGAGAGAGAGAGAGAGAGAGAGAGAGAGAGAGAGAGAGAGAGAACAAAGAAGGGCACAGTCACCCAGAGAAAGAGGAGGTCCTGGACAACAGGGACAGAAGAAAGGACACAGAGACCATCGTGTGCAGACAGGGACCTGGTGTGATAGAGCCACTGGGTCACACGCAAACACAGCAATGCAGAGCCAGCCCATGCAAGAGACCCTTGCAGCAGATCAGCATCCTGCAGAGAGCAGCCGACAGCGCACACCCACCGATCTGGAAGTATGAGTAGGCTGCCAGGGGCTCGTTGACCAGTCGGTCACGCCGAGGGTTCCGTGGACGCAGGTGCATGATGTCGCTCTCAGCCCTCTCATATGCCAGGGACACGGATGGGAACTGGCCAGGGATAGGAGGAACTGAGTCTGAATTTACCTGAGTCCCCTCCTCTCCTAGTCCATAGGCAGGGCAGGAATAACATTGGGGGAAACACCAGCAGTGACCACAGCCAGGACCCGTCAGTCTGACTGGCCTCTGCCAACAGTATTGTCCAGTCCAGTCCACATGGCCACTGTGTCCCTCTCTGTCAGATTTCCTGCCTCTGTCTCAGAGAGGGGCCCCAACTGCCTGCTGGCTCCCTCGCCCACTCCCTCCCCTCTGAGTCCCTGTCCCTGCAAGTGTCGCGAGTGTGGACTCACAATGTCTGTGCAAAGCTCAATGAAGAGGATGGTGATGCAGCCGAGGGGCAGGGGCACGCTGACGGTGATGTAAATGAGGTAGGGTGTCAGCTCAGGGATGTTCTTGGTCAGGGTGTAGGCAATGGACTTTTTCAGGTTGTCAAAGATCAGTCGGCCTACAAGACACAGCAGGCACTTCAGCCTCCACACAGCCCACTTCCTTCCTCCCCCTGTGCCAGCACAGCCCCTGCATCCCCGCCCATCGCTGATCTAGCCCGGACCCTGCTCCACGCCAGTCACAATGGAAGCGAAGTTGTCATCCAGCAAGATCATATCAGCTGCGTTCTTTGCAGCATCCGAGCCGGCAATGCCCATGGCCACGCCAATGTCTGCCTTCTTCAGGGCTGGGGAGTCATTCACACCATCCCCCGTCACAGCCACAATTGCCCCCTGCAGGGAGAGGGTGCGGAGACTGATGGGCAACTGGAGACCAGCCAGGGCCTGCCCCGCCCATTTGCCCACCATCCTGGGCAGGCCCGCACCAGTCGCTGGCAGCTCTCCACAATCACCAGCTTCTGCTGGGGACTGGTGCGCGCGAACACCATCTCCGGGTGCGTGCGTAGGGCCTCCACCAGCTCCGATGGGTCCATATCCTTCAGCTGCATGCCATTGATTACACAGGCGCGAGCATCCCTAAAATAGGAGGTGGACATTGCTGGAGCCTTAGTCTGCCTGGGCTGCGGGCAGAACTGTAGGGCTGGCTGAGGGGGGCTTACTTCCGGTTGACTTGGTCCACGGGCACACGGAGGCGAGCAGCAATGTCCTCCACGGTCTCGCTGCCTTCAGAGATGATACCCACACTGGCTGCAATGGCCTTGGCGGTGATGGGGTGGTCACCTGTCACCATAATCACCTGTAGGGGGAGTCAGAGGACCAACAGACCCTTGACTCATCAAATCAGCCCACTCTTCCCTTCCTCGCTATGAGCTGATAAGCGCTTTCATTTATTCTCCAGTCATGCCCGCTAACTATGGGCCTGGGCCATTGCAAGGAAAAAAAACATAAGACTCTTTAGTAGAGCTGACATTCTAAACCGAATAAATGGAATAAAGAAATGAACGCTACATCATTCCAGGAGGGATTTAGTAGGGAAAGTGTCGGTTGGGGGAAAAGGCAATTTTAAGTGTGTGCAGAGAGCACAGGCCCTGTGGAAGTCTGAGAGAAGAGTGTTCCCACCAGAGAGAATAGCCACTGCAAGGACCTGAGCTGCAAATGAGCCTGAAACGTGGGAGAAGAGCAGGGCAGCCGGCATGACCAGAGAGGAGCGAAAAGGAAGCTAAAGACTGAACTCAGGAAGGTAACAGGACCCAGACTGGATCCTGCTAGGGCCTTAGAGAATGTGCTAGTGTCCTGGTGTTGTTTGCTCAGCATTGGCTTCCCCATCACTGTGGCTTGCAGACCCACCCCTCCGCCAACATTGGCATTAGGTCCTTAGCCCAGATTGAAAAAGTCAACCTAGAACAACTAAATCAAGGTGTTCCATTCCCCTGCCACTGTAATCGTTCAGGGGAGAACACATGATCCAATCTCCTGCAATTGCAAAAGGGGCTAGTGAGGGGTGGGGTGTAAGTTAAAGCTATGGGGTGTGGGGGGTGACTTTTGCCCCTCAAAATGAAAGGACATCCTGAGAATAAAACCACCAGGGAGAAAAGCAGAACTGAGGCATGGAGAAGAGAGAGTTCTTGATGACAAGGAACAACTATATCATCCTCCAGATGTATTTCACTCTCCAAACCAGAATGGTTCGTTTTAGTTCAAGACACTGGTAGACGGGTTTCTGTCCCAATTCTTCACCCCCAAGACTGCCCTTCCTGCTCCTGTCCCTGCCTGTTTCCTCTCCCAGGGTCATACCCGGATGCCTGCTGTGCGGCATTTGAGCACAGCATCAGGGACGGTGGCCCGGGGTGGGTCAATCATGGATACGAGTCCCGCAAAGCACAGGTCACTAGTTGGAAAGTTCATGGCATCCACATCGAAGGAAAAGCCAGGTGGGTAGTCCTTCTCATTCAGGTAGAGCTGACAGAAGCCTGCAGAGGACAGTACAGTCTGAGAGGGGTCCTGGGGACCCTCCCCAAGTAAGGCCAGGAGGTTAGTGAAATGCCCAGGCCCCAGTACAATGAGTGCCTGACTCTGAGCGGAGCTCTAGGTCCCATTGTCAAATGCATCTCAGAACCAGCCTCCCCAGAGAAGGGACCTCAGCAAATAAAGTGAAAGAAGCTTCTAGGATTGAGGCAAGAGTTATCAGAACAAAAGTTGGGTGAGAGGTGAGGCAAGGATTGGGATGTCTCATACTGAAGCAGGGACAGGGAAAGCAAAAGGGTCAAGAGGTGACTGCTGAAAGGTGGAACGAAAGCAAGAACAAGTCATCAGTGGGGGCAAGGGCCAGGAAAAGTAGAGGGTACACCCACCAGGTGAAGATGGGGACGTCTGAAGGAGAAAATATGTGTGTGGGGGTGGGAGCTAGAGTAATTGTGGGAATTCAGGAGCCAGGGGTCAGGACCGTGTCAGCTGCCAAGCAGGAATGTGACCCAATCAGGGTCAGGATTGGGCCAGGAAAGCTGGGCAGAGCTCGAGCTCCTCCTGGCACAGCTGTGTCGGAGTCTTGGGGGGTCTCACCCAGGACGCGTTCGCCCAGGCCCCCCAGGCTGAGGTAGGCAGTCTGGAAGGCTTCACGCCATTGTTCGTCCAGCGGCAGCTCCTGGCCCTTGATGAGGATGGAGCTACAGCGCTCCAGAACACGCTCCGGGGCGCCCTTCATCACTAGCAGGTGCCGCTGGTCCCGGGGGTCCTCCAGGGTGTGGATAGACAGCTGCGGGCCAAGAGGACAGAGCACCGTGGGCGTGGCGTTTGGGGTGGGGCGGGACAGGGCACCGCGCTGTGGGCGTGGCCACTAGGGGAGGGGCGGGGCTCACAGGGCAGGACACCGAGTAGTGGGCGTGGCCAACGGGCGGGGCGGGGCGGGGCTGCCGGGGAGGGCACCGCTCTGTGGGCGTGGCCACTAGGGGAGGGGTGGGACTGTGGCGGGCGGGGCTGACGGGCTGGGCTGGGCTTGAAACTGGACCTTCGTTGAGGAGAGGGACCGCTTGGTAGAGGTTGAGGGTTGGGGCGGGGTCAGGGTCTGGGCCCGGGAAAGCCATGGAGGAAGGGTCTGGAGTTGAGCTGGCGGTGGGCTCTGAATTCCTAATTACTTCCCCCAAGGAAGGCCTGGTCTGTAAGGACTCTCGGAGAGCACGGGCACTAGAGACCACAATCAAGGCACATGGGACATGAGGGACCGGGTTGGGCTACTGAGGGGCAGCGAAGCCCTGCGCGGGCCGAGCCGCTCTGTGAGCCCAGCTTGCATTGGGCGGGGCTGGCCTCTGGGGAGGGCCCTCCGGGGCTGCAGACCTGAAACTTGTTGGTGGAGTTGAAGGGGATCTCGCAGACTTTGGGAAAGCGGTCGCGGTAGCCCATGGCGTTGCCCAGAGTCAGTTCGGAGAACTTGAGCAAAGCTGTCTCGGACGCGTCCCCGATCACTATGCGCTGGAGGTGGGGCTCGGCGTTAGGGGCGCGCACGGCTGCACCAGATTCCCAGGCTCCGTCGCGGCCCCCCAGCCCTCACCTTGGGCACGGGCACCGAGTCCTGACCCGACTTGAAGGCAGCGCGGTTGCACAGGGTGAGCACGCGGCACAGCGCCCGCCACGTCTCCGAGGACTGGTCAAAGGTCTGACCTGGAGACCAAGTGTTCAGGTTGGGGCCGCGAGGGGCCTCCTCGTGGGCCCCAGATCCGAGCGGCTCTCCCATTGGCAGAACCTACCCCTCCCCTTAGACTCGGGACAGGTTCCCTCCGCTGAGTGGGACCCTACTGCCCCCTCATGCCCGGGGGCGGAACCTTCTCTCCAGGATCAGCCTCTGGCCCCCTGTGAGAACAGATCCCATGGGCTTAGCCTCCCCCCCCCCCCCCCCCAGGACCCAGGACCCCTCACTTTTCCCAGGGGAAAAAGCGGTTGGGAATTCCTTTGTGTGTCCTGGGAGCTCCCTTCTCCGCCCACTCTGCACTTGATTGGTCAGGTCGCCTCTATCTCCGCCCACTCTCCTCCTGATTGTTCAGCTCCCTTGACTCCCTACCTGATTGGTCCTCTGTCGTGTCGGCTGTGTGGATGTGGTTGTCGAACCACAGATGTGACACAGTCATGCGGTTCTGAGTGAGGGTCCCTGTCTTATCAGAGCAGATCACCGATGTGGAGCCCAGTGTCTCCACCGCTTCCAGGTTTTTGACCACACAGTTCTTGCTGGCCAGTCGCTTGGCTGTCAGGGACAGGCAGACCTGGACAAGTGGGGGGGGAGGGGAGGGGAGGGACACAGAGACAGCCGTGGAGACCCGTCCGTCCTTGCTTCTGCCTCACTTCCCTCCTCTCCCAGCACAGGGCCTTCTTCACAGCGGTACCCCAGTGTGGACTCAGTAGTCCAGCTAGTTCCTTCCTCCCAGCTTTTGTCCTGCCATGTCTCCCCAAACCGCCCGGCTATACATAGACCCTTCCCCAGCAGTACCAGCTGACGTTCTGTGATCAGCGTGACCCCTCAGAGGCCATGCAGTCTCCGAGCCTCCTCTGGGGCGGGTCCTGGGTTGGACAGCTAAAGGCCGTCCACACCAAACTTAGACTCAGCGCTGGATCCTGGGGGTGTGGCCAGGCAGGATCCAGAGTCACCTTGTTTATTTATTTATTTGTTCGTTTGTTTATTTATTTGCTTTTTGGGTCACACCCAGCAATGCTCAGGGTTTACTCCTGGCTCTGCACTCAGGAATTACTCCTGTCGGGTGCTTGGGGGACCGTATGGGATGCCAGGGATCAAACCCGGGTCTGCCGCATGCAAGGCAAACACCTTACCCACAGTGCTATCGCTCTGGCCCCAGAGTCATCTTGTAATGGTGGGAGAAACAGGGAGATGGGGAGAAGAGGGGAGAATAGCTGGTGGGAAAGGGGGGTGGAGAGATGGGAGGGGACTGAGATGATCAGTTAAGAGATGACCGGAGGTGGCCTGGAGGGACCCACATCCAGGTAGACCCTCAGTTTATAGCCCTCCCCCACATCCTCCACTCACTGTGACAGTGGCCAGCAGCCCCTCAGGCACATAGGCGACCACAATGGCCATGAAGAAGACCATAGCCCGCAGGAAGGTATAGCCGATGCACATGGCCACCACAAAAAACGTGGCCCCGAAGAGGATGGCCAGGCCCGCGATGATGTCCACAAAGTGTTCGATCTCGATGGCAATGGGCGTCTTTTCATTTTCCACCCCAGATGCCAACGAGGCGATGCGCCCAATGATGGTGCGGTCCCCCGTATTCACCACCAGGCCCTGTGCTGTGCCTGCAGTAGACCAAGAGAGTGGCTTGGGGGATGGTGCAGAGGGGAAGGAGGCAGAGGGGAGGCGGGGAGCCTGCAGGACTGCAAGGGGTGGCAGACTTGGGAAGTGGGGGTGGGGAATGTGTCTCTGGAAGGGGCAGGAGGAAAGCAGGAAGGCAGCTAGGGTGCTGCGGGGGTGGGGAGGGCGTGTGAAGGACACCAACCCTCGAGGCACATAGTGGAGAAGAAGGCGATATTGCGGGTCTCCAGGGGGCTCTCGTGGGTGCATTCAGGGGAGCGGGTCTGCGGCTCGGACTCGCCGGTCAGCGAGGAGTTGTCCACCTTGCAGCCCTGGGCCTGCAGGATGCGGATGTCGGCGGGAACGCGGTCCCCACCCTTCATCTCCACCAGGTCACCAACCACAAGCTGATCAGCGTTGATCTGGAACTTGTCCCCATCTCTGATCACCGTTGCTTGCTGTGGGTGGGGTAGTAGAATCAAGGTGGGATTGGGTGGAGTCAGTGAGTGAAAAGGGGCAGAAGACTGGGGAGGAGGAGCTGGGGAAAGTTGAGGACCTCCAGGGAGGGACGGAGACTATGGGTGATGGGAGGATCCCCAAAGAACTGCCAGGGCCCTGCCTGGGGACCGTGGAGTCTCTGGAACTTGGTGTGGCTGGGGGGGACCCACCTGGGGCACAAGGTTCTTGAAGCTGGCGATGATGTTGGTGCTCTTGAACTCCTGGTAGTAGCCGAAGCAGCCGGTGACCACAACCACAGCGATCAGGGCCAGGGCTAGATAGAGCTACAGAGAGTGGCAGGACTGCACTGAGGACTGGGACTCCAGCTCCCTGTGCCCATCATGGTCGTGAGGTCACTTCTGTCATTTGTCCCACTCAGCTAGGAAACTTCATGCACAATTCCCTGGGACCCCAATCCCCAGCCAGTGGCCTGTGTCCTCACTTTCCTGGTGCCTGGTCTCCAGAGCCCCTGCTCCCTGACCCCTGAATCCTTCATCCTCCTTGTCCCCTTATGCTCTGTTCCGTGCCCCCTGTCACCTTTGACTGTGGTCATCTGGATCCCCTTTGTGTGTGTCCCCCAAATTTCATATTCCAGATCCCGAGTTGCATAGTCTGTGTTACCCTCTGGCTCCCCATGCCCAGAAGTGTCTGTGCCCTCAAGTTCCCATGTCCTTGTGCATTTGTGCTGTAGATTTGTTGCTTTGGATTCTGCCCTCATGACCCAGTTCCACATTCCAAGGCCCCACACCCAGTGTCCCCCAAGTGTACATTTCAGTCTCCAGCTCACACCACCCAGCCCTAAGACTTTCTAAACCCCTGTCCCCTGTCCATTACTTCCCCCACACCCTTGTATTGACACCAGGGTTCTCCCATCCTACGTCTCGCTTGTCCTTTCATTTCGTGTGACATCTCTATAGCCCTCCATGCCCTTGTGTCCCATGTTTGAGTTCCAGTGTCCCCGGTGCCCTTGGTCTGTCCCTTGTCCTCTCGCCCTTGTTTCTCTAGTCTCTATCTGGAGCCCCGCCTATGTCCTCCTTTCTGTCCCCTGTGCCCTGGTGACCTGGAGCCCAGTGCCCTTCCTCCTCTGGTGATCCAGTCCCCTGATGCTGCTGCTGCCCCCCATGTTCTGAAGTTCATTCAGTGTCCTTGGTCCCTTGGGTCCCATGGGTCTGCCCTCCCCCCACCGCCACCGCTCCATCCACCCCCCCCCCATTCCACTCACATTGTCATCAGTCGTGAGGTCACCCTCACTGGCCTGAATGGCAAAGGCAATGAGGCAGATGGCAGCGGCCACCCACATGAGGCACTGCAGGCCACCAGCCAGCTGTCGCGCAAACTTGACATACTCTGGGGTGCCCTTGGGTGGCCGCAGGGCATTGGGTCCATCTCGCAGCAGCAGCTCGGCCGCCAGGCGCGCAGACAGGCCCTGTGGAGGGGGTCATAGAGGAAGCTGCAGGGCCCTCCTCTCCCCTACCCTGCAGCTGGTGGGGGAGGATGCTTCCCTCTGGCCCCTCCCCGTCCCCTCCTTCCTCTCATCTGTCCCCTCCTCTTGGTCTTTCCAGCCCCTTTCTCTCTCTGCTTCTATCTCGTCCTCTCCTTCTCTGTGTCTTGCCCTTCCTCTTTCACCTCCCTCCTCCTGCCTCTCCTCCGCCCCTCTCTGCCCCCAACTCCCATTCCAGCTCACCTTGGTGGCACTGGTCTTATATTTCTGTTCCAGCTCGGTCACTGACAGCTGGTGATCATTCTGTATGTCAGGGGCAGGACACGGGCTGTCACTGTCAGGCTCTCGCCCAAGCTCCCCACCTCTGCCCAGAGCCCCCCCAGGCCGTGCTCACGATTTCCATTTCCTTCTTCATGTTCTCCAGTTTATCCTTCCTCTTGCCCCCACCGCCGCTCTTCTTGTTCATCTTGCCTGTCTTGTTACCACCCACCTCCACTGAGGACAGCTCGTAATTGTCCTGGGAAAGGGGGAGGCATTAGAGCGCCCCGGGACCCCTGCTTCCAACCTCCAGCCCCAGGCGCCTCCCCCGGGACTCTCAGCCCCACTCACGGCCTTCCCCATGGTGCCAGGTGCCACTACCCCTCCTTGGCCGAGACAGGGCCTGGGGCCTGGGCCAGCCCTAATATATCAGAGAGGAAGGAGGTGGAGCAGGCTTGACCTGATTACAACTGATTATGGGGCTCCTTGGGGTGACCTTCAGGCCTGGGTAGCTCAGGTATTCCCCTCTGGGTTACCCAAGACCCCCTCTCTACCTGTCACTGAGCTCAGGAAACCACGGGAAAGTCCAACAGATGGAGCAAACACATGGACAGATGACTCCTCACAGAAGGCTGTGGTTGCACATCTCCTTGGCTCCCCCGACAGAGGACACCAAGGGCCCAGGAGGGCGGTGTGTGTGTGGTCAGGGAGTGTCTGGGCCAGGGAGCCAGGCCGGGAGCCAGGCTCTCAGGAAACCGTCTATGGAAACACCACATTTCACAGCAGGGGTGCCACATGGATGCTGGGGTCACTACACGTGTGAGCTCTTGGGTCCTTGAAACCCAACTTTCAGCCAGAAAGGACATCCTGACACTCCCATTGTATAGAGAGAGCATCTGAGGCCCGGTGGACCCTGTGTCCACCTAGAGCGAACAATGGTCTCAAGAAAGCTCTCTGTCCCGACTTGAACTGCCCAGGTGGGTACATCGGGCCAGCTGGTGAAAGGCCATGTCCAAGGTCTGTGGTTGGAGCTTGGCGATTCATTCCAAGTCTGAAGTCTGGGGACCCTTTCCACGCCCCCTGGTCAGAGACCTCTGCAGACAGTAGGAAAGGGTGGGTGGTGGAAGGGGGGGTCCTGCTCTCTCATGCTGGGGCCACTGGAGTAGATGCATCGTGTGTGGCCCCTGCAGATGTGTCATTGCCATGGCGATGTCCTTCTTAGAGCAGGTCACCTGGGAAGGTTGAATCCTGAGCTCCTCCCTGCACCCACCCTGCTGCCCACCCCCAGCCTACAATGGATCCATTCAGGGGCTTTTCTCCACCTGGTGTCAGGACTGAGTCAGCAGTAGAGTGGGGTCCTGGCTTCCATTCCCACACCCAAAACAAAAAAGTAACAAAAAGTAACAACCAAAACAAAAAGTAACACAGCAGCTGGTATTACTCTTCTGTTTCCAAGGGTGTCCCCCACAGAGCAGAATAAAATTCACTTTCCAGCATGCAAGAGCTGCTGACACCCTTCTCACCTCTCAACTTCTGAAATCTTGCCCCAGGGCCTTTGCACTTGTGCTGCCAGCTCCTGGTTCATTCCTTGAGATAGGTTTTCTTCCCTTCTTCAGGTGTTCAAATGACAACTCTTAGGAAAATCCAGCAGCCCCCACTCACTCCTGCCATCTTGCTGGCAGAAAAATGGCCCGGCGACATTTCCAAAAGAACCCAACGCCACTGAATCTTCCCAGGTAGACTGGTCTGGGCTGAGAACTCCAGGGCCTTCTCAGAATGGGGGTGGGCCAATTCCTCTTTCTGCCTGAAGCATAGTAGCCCATCCCAAAACCCTCTGACAGAGAAACAGCCCAGCTGCACAGCTGAACCTCATCAAACTGGTAAGCCACCAAATTGTTCCACATCTACAGAGCCTGAAAATTTCATGTACTGTCAACCCAGTACTGTCTCTCGAAGAGCCTGGTAAGTTACCGAGAGTATCCCGCCCACACGGCAGAGCCTGGCAAGCTGCTCGTGGCGTATTCAATCTGCCAAAAACAGTAACAAGTCTCACAAGGGAGACGTTGCTGGTGCCCGCTCCAGTAACAACGGGAGCACAGTGCTACAGTGCTTCTGTCAGCCCAGTAGGATCACAGCAGATCTGATGGGAACATTGCACAGAAGCCCACCAAGCTCCGCGAGGCTGAACATAACACAGGAGGCTCGACTAGCGCTAACCAATGCAGAAGAACCACAGACAATGACTTTAGCAACACCACTGTGAGACATGACAACTATCACCAACTGACCCATGTTGATAAGTTTTGATAATTCCATTTGCTGTTGTGTTGTAACAAACAATATGAAGTAAATCTGTGCCTGCAAAGGGGCAGGCTGGGGTGGTGGGTGGGAAACTGGGAACAATGGTGAAGGGCAGGTTCCACTGGTGGTGGGATTAGTGTTGAAACACTTAATACCTGAAACGACTGTGTTATGAACAACTTGGTAAATCATAGGGTTAGAATCAAAAATATATTTTTCAATGGCAGCTCTTCATAAAGATCTCAATTTGGGGGGGGGATGTGGGGTTGGGCCACCCCCAAGAGTGCTCGTAGCTTACCCCTGAGTTGGTGCTCATGAATCACTCCTGGAGGGCTATGGTCCATATGGGGTGCTGGAGACCAAACCCAGCAATGGCAAGACAAGTGCCCTGGCTCCCTTAAAGGCCTCACTTTTACTAACCCCCCTCTTTGGGCTCCCTCTGCTCACCTGACTTTATTCTGCTTCCCTCAACCTGACTTGCATTCTATTTTTGTCTGTTTGGAGATAGTCTTGCCGTGCTATAGAGGTTGTGTTTGCTGCTGTGGGTACAGCACCCAGGACTTCAGACCTGGCTCAGTGAGCACAACTGTTTCTGGAACTGAAAACTCAGACAAACTGAGTTTGGGGATACTCAGCAGCAAGCCTGGAGCACTAGCACGGTGCTGGGGATCGAACTCTTGGCCTCTGCTCCCCCAGCAGATGCTCTGCCCCTGAGCCAGGCCCAACAGTTTCATTACTTCACGTTCATGCTCAACAGTTTATATTCAGTATCTCAACCCTACAAATCACAGGAAGGGTGAAATGGGCCCTGGCTTCCCTGTCACTTAAACCTCACAATTATACTACCTTTGCAAGGAGAGCTACCCAACTAGACAAAGTGTTTTCAACATTGGCCTCAATTGCTGAGAAGATGTGGGAGGCTGGATGCTTCCTGATCTCTGAGCATGCGGCACATTTCTCCTACAAAGAAGGCCACCATCGAACGTAAGGCCACTCTCTTCCAGTGGCCCAAATCAGAAACCCAATTGTGATATGTTTTAGATTTCCCAGTGTCCCCTCCTGTCCTTTCCTTTGGCCCAGCATCCAATCCAGGAGCAGAGTCTGCATTTAGTTGTCCTGTCTCCTGAGTGTCCCTGGCCCCTTGGCATTGCCTCATGCATTCCTGGTCTTTTTTGACACCCCCCACCCTTTTGGAAGAGCCTCCATCTGCCTTTCCTCTCCTCTTTTTGTGGTTTTGGGCCACTCCCGGCAATGCTCAGTAGTTACTCCTGGCTCTGCATTCAGGAATTACTCTTGGCAGTGCTCAGGAGAACATGCGGGTTACCAGGGATTGAACCCTGGTCAGCAACGTGCAAGGCAAGCACTCCACCTGCTGTATTGTCACCCTGGCCCATTTCTTTGCAAGATTTCCTGCAGTTGGGATTTGCCGATGGTCCCTCAGGATGAGGTTTGAGAGGTGGGCTCCGGGCAGAAACAGAGCAGAGAGGTCGAGAGAAGAGCAGGGCGGGAAAGGAAAGTGCCTTGTTTCTGAGGCTTTAAGCAGACTGGAACAAGTGGACATTGGGGAACTGCCAGGAGGCATAGGGATGACCCAGGGGCTACATGGAGATGTCTTTGCTGATGCAGCCATGACCAGCACTCACCTGTGCAGTGATTAGAGTCAGAACAGCACCCCCAAATGCAACCACTTGACGGGGCTGACTCCACCACTCCTGCCCCAGCCTTCAGCCGTGCCCTTGCTGACTGCAGAGTGCCCCATGCATTGATGGGTGAATATTTTTAACCTCTGCCCCAGTGACAAACAACCTTTAAATCTTTTCAAGTTCTAGTTCTTCTTTGTGTGGGGGGCGGGGGGCCTTTTGGGGTCACACCTGGCGATGCACATGGGTTACTCCTGGCTCATGCACTCAGGAATTACTTCTGGCACTGCTCGGGGGACCAGACCATGTGGGATGCTGGGAATCGAACCCAGGTCGAACGCATGCAAAGCAAACATCCTACCTGCTGTGCTATCGCTCCAGCCCCAAGTTCTAGTTCATTAGGGGGGAGTGTTGTCAGGTGCGTCCAAGCAATTCTAACCCCATCTCTGGGGAGTGGACATGGACCTCAGCCCCACCCCCACTCCCGAACCTGGCAGGCTCTGGAGGAAGCAACCTCTCCAGCAGCCTGGCACGGAGTTGGTGGACTGGACAATGGCATTGCAGGCTGAGTAATGCACCTGGAGCTTCTGGGAGCCAAGACTTCTCACACGAATGTCAGAATGCCACATGACCCCTTTCCCTCTTGACACAAGCTTTCTCTGAGGGCAGGATCCCTGGGGATTTTGCAGTATCACCCATAGTTCAACTTTTCTGGAAGAATGTGCTCAGCCCTGACCATGATGGCTGGTAGGCAGTGGATGTGACGGGAATTTGAACACCCAAAATGCCTAATGCCCTACCAGGAACTTGGGGGTCACCCCTGATGTTTCAGCCTCCTCTGCTTGATGTGTCCCTGCACTTGCCTTGGATTCAATCTCTTACCCTATCTCTTCCATTTTCCAACTGTTCCCCTTTCTTGCTTTAGTACACATGTCCCTTCCTCCAGGAAGCTTTCCCAGACCACCAGCTGGCTGGGTTAGGGAACTCCAGGGCTCCTGTGAGTTCCTATGTTTTCCTGTCTCCAACCCTGAACCCTCAGTTCTCACCCCCTGAACCATAATCCCTTCATCACAGGCCCGACCTCTCCTGGGTGTCACTATCTGGGGACATTCTCTCTCCCCCACTGAGCCCACGAGGGCAGGAACCAGGCTGTCTGTCACCGTGTGCCCTGTGGCGCCCAGTCCAGGTCCGGCCCAGGCTGGCCTCAGGGAGTGTTTGCTGAGTGAAAGAACTCTTTGTAACCGTGACTTTCGTGTTAGGTCCCTCTGATAAGATAGTGGATTCAGCAATGTCCTTTGCCTCTTGAGCAGGTCACCCCCTGGCCCCACAATGACCCCAGGGAAGACTGAAGCCAGGAGCTGGGTAGGCAGGGAGCTGGCCTGTCCCTGTTCCTCCAGCTGGCCTGGGGCGTGGGGCACCCGA